CTTGGATTTGTTTCAGCTTAACAAGGTACAGGCTGACGACCGCCCCTCCTGCAGTGGACCCTCTGGCCACGTGGAAGTGACCTTTGCCTTAAACACGAACACGCTGGTTCGCAGTGTGTGACACGAACTTCTTCCTCCGGGTCAGCCGGTCGAGCTCCGGCCTCGCAGGTCTGAAAGCCTCATCTTGTGACGTGTTTTTCTGCCTCCTGTTTCTCTAGCTCCACAGCAGGTCTCTGCGCTGCTCTTTTCTGTTTTATTACGGATGATGGGACAATGAGGCTTAGGAAGAACACGGGCAAGGCTGAAAGGGCTGAGGCATAATTCAGTACCTTAACGTAGGGTCGCTTCAGTCTAAAGTCGGGGTCTTCCCCCTAAACACACTGCCGTCATTTTTACTTCACAGCGTGTGGAGGTTGGTTGAGGGTTACTGAGTTGGACCCCTTCTTTATAAAGAGATCTAATCGTTAATCTGGTTCTTTCTCCCAGAAAATCTTGAGTGTTTTGGGGGAGTAACTTGGGGGGGCATTGCAGGTGTTTATGGACTATGCTATCAAAAGTGATGATTTAATTTTCTAGTTTAAAAATGATAGGTATATGTGGGGTTTTTTTTGGCTTAGAAAAAATTTTTGAGAGGTTACCTTAGCCAAGAATGTTTTGTTTTTGGAGTCATACCTAGGCATGAGAGGATTGGAAGTGGTTTCCATATAGATTTTTCTGATTTCTCTTGCCATTTCATTTAACAGTTGGTTGCAGAAGAAGGTGGATTTGCAGCTGTTTGCAAGGATAGAAAATGGACCAAAATTGCCACCAAGATGGGGTTCGCTCCTGGCAAAGCTGTGGGCTCGCACATCAGAGGGCACTACGAGCGCATCCTCCACCCCTACAACCTGTTCCTGTCGGGGGACAGTCTGCGGGTGAGTGTCGGGCTGGCCCTCACCCAAGTGTCGCTGCAGCGGTGAGAAGGCTGGAGTGCCTGTGTGGGCGGGGCATTGTGTGCCAGCCTTTGTTCTGCGAGTTACTCCTCCAGGGTCTTTGTCTCTCTGTTTGGAGAATGTCCATACTTAGAAGCTTGTTTGGGGATGAATAAGGTTGTAGAAATGGCCTTTTGCTGTCAACTCTGAAATCGGTATTAACTTCACTATAGGTTTCTCCCTACAATGAGGAGTTGCTTATTGTCCACTTGTCATGGCTTATGCCTTTGCATTCACCTGCCACTTCGTCTGTGTTCCTGGCTGTCACATGAAAGCACAACAGGTGACCTGGCGTGGCAGCCTGGCCTGCTGTGCTGGCTGAGCTCTCCAAGGCACGTGTCAGCTGGGATGCTGACTAGAAGGGTGGGGGCTGAGCCCTGGGTACCTGACTTGTTCCTCTCAGGGATGGCATTTGCCACATTATTTAGATAAAAACCGTTGTTCTAATTAAGCTGAAACAATAGTATCAAAACTTCCCACTGCCTTCAAGGCTCTGGTAGGAAAAAAAGAACGCGTGGTCTGTTCACTCTCTTCACATTCCTCTTAGAGCCGCCAGAGTCGTTACTGTGCTGTGGGGAGAGGCGGGAGGGTGGTGCTGCAGGTTCTGGTCAGCTGCTGACCGTGCGCCTTTCCCTCTGCTTCCCTGATCCCAATGAGCTTGCCTTTTCAGCCTAGAAGAATGGGACCAGCCTGACATGCCGCAGGTGGTTGGGCTTTGTGTGTATGTCCATCGTGCGGATGTCACTCAGACCCATGGATGAAACTTTTCAGAAAGTTGCATGTGGAATCTTTATGCCTCTGTGTTGTGGTCAGATCTAGAGAGCCGCCCACGTAGACTTTCTCCTTGTTAACCATCCTGTGTCTCATGGTCGCAGGCGCAGTGAAGAGGGGCAGGAGGGCCTCTCTGCCTTCTGGGTCGTGTGCGAGAGACACCCCGTCTTTGCGCAGACAGGCAGTGCGGTGTCGGAGTGGGGGGCACAGCGGCGAAGGCAGCCTGTGCACACGGGGTCTGCGGCACAGACTCGGGCCTGGAGAGGGCCTGCCGCGCGCCTGCGCTGTTCTGGGCACTGACGCCTGTTCGTCATAGAAAGTTGACACCAAAGGGAGGCCCGATGACCAAAAAATCACTTCTCGTTCTCCAGCCTGTATTTCCCAAGGCTGTTTTTATGCGCGCGCGCACACACACACAAGAGTGTGCTCTTCACACACAGTGTGTTCTGCTTTTCTCCTGCTTACTGAGTCGTGAGCACCTGCAGTGTTATTGGATATTTCGAAATCTAGTCTTAGTGACTTGGGCATTTTATTTTTATAGCCAGATCTTGGTTTGATTTTTCCTATTGTCGAATGTTTAGATTGGCTTCAAATATTTTTATAATAATACTGTGATGGGTATTCTCTGCACATAAATTTTTATGTTTCTTATTTTGAAAGTGATTCTTAGAAGAAAGGAAATTGGAATACATATATCTTTTAAAAGAATGAAAAATAATGAGATATCACAGTACACCTATCAGAAAATGGCCAAAAGCCAGAGCATTGATGGCGCAGGCGCTGTGAGGACGGGGAGGCACAGGACCTCCCCCGCCCCCCCACCATGGCTGGAGGGGGTGCAGCACGAGGCAGCTGCCGCAGAGGGCGGTTCGGTGGTTTCTTAGACAGGGAGACCTGCTGCTAACATACAGCCCAGTGCTTGTGCTCCTTGGTGTTTGCCCAAAGAAGCTGGAAACTTACATCCACATGGATGTTTATAGCATCTTTATTCTTCATTGCCAAAATTCGAAAGCACCAAGATGTCCTTCAGTTAGTGAATGGATAAATAAAGTGTGGTCCGTCCAGACGGTGAATCAGTACAAAGAACTGAGTTCTCAAGCTGTGAAAAGACATGGAGGAACCTTAAATGTTTATGACCAAGTGAAAGAGGACAGTCTGAAAAGGCCGCATACGGCACAACTCCAACTGTGTGACGTTCTGGGAAAGGAAGAGCTCTGCAGACGGTGAAAAGACCGGCGGCTGCCAGGGGGCTGGGGCGGGAGGGGAGTAGGCAGGGCACAGAGGAGAGTCAGGGCGGTGGACCTGGGCGATGCCGTAATGACGGGCCGCCCTCACTCCTTTGTCCAAACCCACGGGGCGAACACCACCAGGAGCGGCCCCTGCGTAACCCACAGAAGACTCGGGGCGGTGAGGGTGCGGCGCAGGTACAGCGCTGCTCCTGGGGCAGGTGGGGGCAGGAGGGGCAGGGTGACTCTCTGGACCTTCCTCTCAACTGTGCTCTAAACCGAAAACTTCTGTAAAAACAGAGTCTTGGTGTTAAGAAGTGAACGTGATGCCCAGTGAAGGCGTTGTTACAGAGGGGCGGACGAGAGCCTCAGGTGTGTTCTGGGGCACCCGAGGGAGCTGAGCGTGGGTGTGCCAGTGCTGCAAGGGAGCGGAGGCCTCCCGCCGGCACCCTTGTGTTTCCTAAGTGCCGTGAGGGGTTTCTCCGTCCCTGCGGGAGGGTGTCGTCCTGACGTCCTGCTGTCAGTGACCGTTCAGTCCCAGTTTCTCGAGTAAAGGTGTACAGTTTGAGGGTCTGTCTGTGATAGCCTTGGCTCCGAAGCACCCTCAGGTGTGTGTTCCAGACACGCTGATCAGGCTCTCCACCTGTGGATGTTCTGAGACGCCTCTGAGCTTGGCTCCACTCGAGGGCTCCGGAGTCCTTGTGAGAAAACCAAGTAGACCATAGGCTATTAATGATTTAGACTAACGGCAGATGGGTTATGTATATAATACTTGAATTTCTGACCATCCACTTAAAAAATTTCTGTGACTCAGCTCAGTTTGTATTTCTACCAGTCACACATACGTTTAGGTCTCAAACAGTAAGTACTCTCAATGCATAAAAGAGGTTAACCCCAGTGATGGACAGGTTTTATATATCCCCCCCCGCCCCCGCGCACTGTCAGCAAACACACAGTGATGTGCAGTGGAGGGCGACGCCCACACCGCATGACTCGGGGTCTCAGGGTGTCCAGACCCAGTGCACAGGGACCGTCAGGGTTGCAGTGGTGGAGTCACTCGTTCAGGTCAGCCTCGAGGGGTCCATGTCAGTTAGGGAGCCCTTCCTCGGCTCCCCGGAGCTTGTTTCCGGAGCCCGTTTCTTCCACCACCCACCCCTCCCACCTCCGTGACTTCCTAAATTAAAAAACACTTTTTGTCAGATGGTTGCTGGGTGGTTGGTTTTTTTTGTGTGTTGTTTTGTTTTGTTTTGTTTGTGTTGTCCTTCTGTTCTCTAGATTCTTTGTGCAGATGTTCTGAGGAAGGAGCCCGTGTTGTTGGTGAGACTGGACAGTAGTGATGGTGCCCATAGAACCGAGAGCTCTAGGAGGGGGTTGCTGCAGAGTATCTTTCCCCAGGTATCGGCGGTGTTTGTGGTGCAGCTGTCGGTGGTTTCATTCTGGAACCTGCTTTGAAAAGTGCCTCCTTGATGCTTTGGGTTTGCTTATGAAGGACGGGACATTTGTACTAGATCTGGACGGCACTGAGCACCCTCTTGCATCGCGCTTAGATCAGACCAGAAAGAAAAGTCAAAGCGAAAAAGCAAGATGAGGCTCTTCCATGATGAAAGCCAGAGCTGCTGCTGCTGCTGCTGCAGGCCGCCTCGCCTGTTAGTTAGCCTTTGTCTCGTGAGGTAGACTCCCCAGCAAGCCCTGGTGAGGGAGAGCACTTGCACCCAGAGACCTGCTTTCTCAACTCAGGCGACACCTTTTGTTAACAGCAGAACATTGCCATTGCCGCACAGACTCAGAATTCTAAAATTTAAAAAACCTATTGGGTTCCATATTTTGTTAATCTAAAGACTTGTAAAAGATGAGCTGTTTTCAATATGGAAAGTTTCTACGGGAAGTTTTAAGGGGCCTTTCTGACAGCCATAAGCAGGGAAATTGCGGCTGGCTGACTGGGAGTGTCTTGAGGCTGCTGTGGTCTCTCGTCCCCTGACGACACTGGTGACTGCGTGAGTCAAAACGGCACACTCACCTGCTCGAGCGTGTCAGGGTGTGCTCAGGGCAGGGGCCTGAAGGAACGGCGCCTCGGTTCACAGCGCCAGACAGGAGCTCGGGGTTGCTGTGTGCAGGGGCACAGCACTCGTGCCCTTCCTGTGAGCACACACCCATCATGTGCCTCCCCTGCCCCCTCACGTGGCTGCCGGGCAGGACCAGTGGGGCAGGGTCCGTTGTTGGCAGGAGAGCCCTGGCTGCGGGGGCTCAGTGAGCTGGGCATCGTCTTGCGTCCGAAAGGGCCCATTGCGATGCCTAGGCAGGGCAGCGGCCTGGGCCGTGGGCAGGTCCCCAGTTGGGGGCGTGCAGGAGGTACAATCAGTCAATCTTTAAAAAGTACTGGAGGAAAAGATGCAGTATTTAGTGGGGGAGGCTGCTACCTAGAACCTGCCATAAAAAAGTTCAGACCTGCTGTGCTTGTGTGTATGTATGTTAACAACCGCAACTTGTCTTTTTTATTTAGATTTAAAAAACTGCAGATGTGTTATGTATGAATATGAATAATTGTTACTTTTTAAAAAGACTTTATTTATTTTTAGAGAGGGAAGGGAGGGAAATAGAGAGAAACATCAATGTGTGGTTGCGGGGGGTCATGGCCTGCAACCCAGGCATGTGCCCTGACTGGGAATCAAACCTGCGACACTTTGGTTCGCAGCCTGCGCTCAATCCACTGAGCTACGCCAGCCAGGGCTTTAATTGTTACTTTTTAAAAATCCAGTGAAACTCTCTGTTGTTAAAAAGAGGGAAGTTCATCAGAATGATCACGTTTTGTTTCTAGTGTCTGCAGAAGCCACACCTGGCCACAGACACGAAGGACAAGGAGTACAAGCCCCACGACATCCCCCAGAGGCAGTCTGTGCCTCCCATGGAGACGTGCCCACCTGCCCGCCGAGCCAAGCGCATGAGGGCTGAGGTGAGAGTCTCTGGCGCCCACGCCCGGCCAACCCACGTGCCTCGTCTCCAGCCTCGCTCCCCTGGCAGGCTCTGTGTGCACTCCAGCTTCTGGGGCGAGTGCTGTTGGGGTGGGGAGTCCGAGAGCTGGTTCTGGGCTGTGCAGCCCCACAGGGGGTGCTGCACTGGTGGCAGGCAGGGCCCAGGGGAGCAGGCACCCATCAGGGTGCTGTGTGGTTTGCCTGGGGCTGTCACGAAGTGAGGCTGCCCACTGCAGAGTAAGGCTAGGAGGTGTGCAGCTGGGGAGATTTTTGCTGAAAAGGACTTTTTAAAAAGAGAGAGAGAAGTTAGAAGATAGTGAAAGCTGGTTTTCTCAGGCTTCTCGAAAGGAGCGCAGCCCCTTGGGCACCTGTGAGGCTGGGACAGAAACTGGGCAGTGTGGGGAGAGGGGAGCAGTGAATGTTGTGCGAGCTGAGCTGAGATCGGGGCGGAGAAGCAGGGTGAGGAAGACCTTCTGCGTAGGGCGTGTGTGCTCCAGCGGCCCCCTGAGAAAGGGAGGGGTGTGGGCTCCAGCCCAGCCTGGGGGCCTCTGGAGCGAGGCACCAGTGCAGGCGGAGCCCCCGGGAGGCCGCCTCCCAGTGGCTGGGCTCTGAGTCCGTCTCTGGTGTTCAGTAGTTGTTGGAGAGGTGAGGACAAACAAGCCCTTTTGTTTTCAGAGGAAATGGACAAATAAGAGAACTGTTTTTCACTTACGTAAGTTGGAGCTAGGGAAAAGGTAGCGGCTGCAGTTTTCTGAGTTGAGACTGCCTCAGAAGAGGAAACTATGGTTAATCGAAGCCTATTAGTGTGCTTAAAGTTAAGGTTTTATTAGTCTGAAGTCAGTGCTTGTTCAAGAACGTCTTGACCTTTCATGTTTAAGACATGCCGTGGTCCTGGGTCTGCCTGCACGACACGTGGGGCTGGTGCCGGAGCTCTGGAAGGGGTGCCCATGGCCATGGACACCCTGCATGTGCATGAGTGAGCAGGGGGAGTGAGCACGTCTGGCTCCAGAAGCACTTTGGCGGGACAGATCACAAACACTGCTCTGTGCTATCAGTAAGCGTTAGCACTTCAAGAAATAAAGTCAGTTATGAGTGAAGAGTAAATTTGAAAATAACAGAAATGGAGACTGGCTCATGCGCCCTCGATGGCAAGGGAGCCCCGGGCGATCCAGCGATGGTAGAGGAGTAGGTGGCAGTGACTGCAGTGAAAGAGCTAGTAGGGGATGATTGTGGAAGTGACCTTTCTACACACACTCGCTGCCTCGGAGGAAGTCAGCGACCTCGGCAGGCTTGCAGGATGGAGGCGTGGGTGACAGCGCAGGCTCAGGCTCCATGGGGCCGAGGCAAGAACTGGGGAGGAAGAGCTGTTGTGAGTCTGGGTGGTGAAACTTCCCACAGTCTGCTCCTGGCCCTTCCACTTTGCCCTGTGCTTGGGCCTGTCGGAGTGCAGAAGGGTACTCCTGTGGCTCCTGAGGTTCCTCCGCTCCTTCGGCAGTGCTGCTCGCGAGGGCAAGAGCCGGGGAAGTGCGTCCTATCAATAGAGACAGTTTACGTAGGATCATACTCACCTTGGGATTCCGGTGGGATTTTAGAAGAGTTATTTGTTTTTAAAGAAAATATTTATGTGTATGACAACTTTTTTTTAAGGCCATGAACATTAAAATAGAACTGGAGGAGACAACAGAAGCCAGAACTCACAACCTCAGGCGTCGGATGGGTTGCCCAACTCCAAAGTATGAAAATGGTAAGAAAAGTTATCTGCAAATAGGAAAGTAATAGAAAGTAAACAAGTGAAAGTGATGATTTGTTTGTTAGTTAAGAAAACACTGGAGCAACTATGACCTACCAATCCCTGGTTGCGCCTTCAGAAATGAAATCTTCATTCATATATGAGTGTCCTCATCGTTGAGTGCCCAGCAGAGAGGGAAACGGGCGGATGGAGGCATGTCGGGGATGGGGTTGAGCCTCTCAGCTGTCACTAGCGGCTCCTCTGAAAGGCGGTCTGGGAGCATTCACTCATGGAGAAGCAGTGGTGTCTGGGGAGCAGCGGAGCCCTTGCCTGGCTGTCTGCTGGACTCGTCTCAGGGTGGCGGGCAGACCTGCTTTTGGACTTGGGGTGGAGCTGGCAGGTGCTTGCCTGGCCTCTGCCGGGTGCCAGTCACGGGGAGGCCTGGGACTCAGAGGAGAAGCCTGGCTACCACGTCGGGAGGGCGCCCACGCCGCTGACCGAGGGGCCCAGCACTTGGTCAGTTGTCACGCAGGGCGACACGAAGTCAGGGGAAGGGACTCTAGAAGCACAGATCTGAGTCCCTGCCCGTCCACATCCTGGTTCATTGTTTGACCTTAGAGATACTCCTTGACAGCCACTGATGACAGTTTTCTCATCTTTGGGATGGATTTGTTGCAAAGGATTAAATAGTTGGTGGGAAGCATTTAGCACAGGGCCTACCACGGGGTAGTTCATTGATTGACACCAGTGTTTCAGCCCAAAGCCTCTGGGACCAGGAAGCAGGAGAGGCGAGCAGTCTTGGGCTTGGAGGCTGGTCTGGATTGGAGGGGTCCAGCTGGGGGGTTGTCAGGCCCTCCCAGTCACGGTCAGAGGACTTTCTGGCCTCCAAGTATGGTTTTTTTTGTTTGTTTGTTTTTGTTTTTAATTTATTGAGCTGACATTTGTTAATGAAATTACATGGTCTCAAGTATGCAATTCTTTAATACATCACCTGCGCACTGTATTGTGTGCTCACCCCCTAAATCTCTCTCCATCACCGGTTCTCCACCTTGACCCTCTTCTGCCTCCCCCACCCCGCGGACGTGTTGTTCTAACAGCATAGAAACCTGAGCGGCGTCTCCGAAGTAGGCGCCTACACCTTGCACTTCAGGTGGGGTGAGAGTTGGCATCTGTGGTGGAGACGGCATTGGACATGGCAACGCTGGTGCCACCGTTGCCTCGTGCGAAGATCCGGGGCAGTGTGCTAGTGTGTCCCGTGTGTGTTTGAGGAGGGGGGTTGGGGAAGAGGCCGAGAAGAGCACGGAAGGAGCTAGCTAACTCGGATTACCTCTTGCAGAGAAAGAAATAAAGAGCTGCATCAAGCAAGAACCCATTGAGAAGAAAGAGCATGTTGTGGAAAGTGAGAGGGAGAAGCCCAAGAGTCGACCTAAAAAAACCACCAGTGCTGTGAGTGGACACCTTCCGACACTCGGACCCCTAGTTCACATGCGTGTGCCGGACTGAGGCCTGGCGGCCCACAGGGCGGAGGCCGTGTCGAGTCCGCCTCTCGTGTCAGTTTGGGGAGGAGGGAGCTCACGGAGGCACGAGGAGAAGGGTCGCGTCTGGGCCCTGAGGGCCGCTTTGTGGAGGCTGATGGAGCTCCAGATGGCGCTGGTTCGTGGGCTTGCTCGCACATCGCTGGCCCGTCTCCAAATGAGCTGAAGGCTGGGACCAAAATCACATTGTTTTCTAGCTCTGGACAGCAGGTGTGGGCAGTCTGTCTGGGGAGGGGAGTCCCCCTGTGCACAGGGCCCTGGAGGGGGCTGGTCGTCTGAAGCAGGCGGGGTCCTGGGTCTCACCTCCAGTCAGTTCATGCCTCGAATTGCAGACTCTGGTGGGCACTCACCAGCCTGTGTTCTGTGCCCATGTGGTGGCTGCAGGTGGACCTGTACGTGTGCCTCTTGTGTGGCAGCGGCAGCGATGAGGACCGGCTCCTCTTGTGCGACGGGTGTGACGACAGCTACCACACCTTCTGCTTGGTCCCACCCCTCCACGATGTTCCCAAGGGAGACTGGAGGTGTCCCAAGTGTTTGGCTCAGGTGAGACTCAGCAGCTGGGGCAACATCAGGACGTTCGGTGCTGTTCTCAGCCTTTGGGTTTGTACCTGGCGACCGACAGTCACGAGGTCCTTAGAACCACTGGGTGGCCCTGCCTAGAAAGGAGGTCTTGGGAGTGAGTCTCACAGCTGCGCAGGGAGCGAAGAGGCAGGAAAAATCTTAATAACTACGCTTAAATTTTTTTCCTTTGAGGAAAACAACACTGTTGCTCTTCGCAGAAATTCTTAAATGCCACATGGCTTTAAAAATGAAAGTGTGATTTTATAATCCATACCATACATAACCGCTGCTGATATTTTGGTGTATATTCATCCAGACTTTTTTCTATTTTAAATCAATGGAATTGTACTACATAAGCAATTTTA